GAGGGTCCAGTTGGCAGCACCCACTGGTGCTGGGAGAACTGGGGTGGAGGGATCAGCAGGGATGCACTGGGGACCCTCCAGCCTTGGGGAGGAAAGACCCCTTGGACAGGTTCAGGATTTCCCAAACTTGGGGGAATTGGGGTGGAGGGACCAGCAGGGATGCACTGGAGGTCCTTCTGCCTTGGGATGCAAAGCCCACCTGGAAAGATGCAATATTTCCCAAATTCAGGGATTTTTAATCATTTTTAATCATTACAGAGTTACTCCCCTTTTTGATCTTTAAAATACTTTTTCATCACTTCCATCCTGCTTTGATGAATGAGTTAATTAGAGCTTGGGAGAGATTTGGGGCACAAGGCCAGGGAGGGAATGGCAGGAGAGGACAAGGCTCTGGGATTGTGTGTGGAAGGGAGAGCTGGGGAAGGCACCCCAGGGTGGGGACAGGGGGTGTCCCCAGCCGTGTCCCCATGCCCAGAGCTCTCTGGTTTCTGTAGCTGGGTGCAGAAGTGGCTTTTTGGGGACATCAGAATGTCCAAGCTGGGAAAGCAGCAGAGGTGGAATCCATAGGAGGTTCTGGATTTTTCCAAGACCTGTTCCTTGCTGTCACCCAGCTTTGGGATTTGAAGGTTTAGCCCCTGTGGCTGCTGCCAGGGAGGGAGGTGACATCCCTTTGTCCCTGCAGCCCTTCCTTGGGGAATGCTGGCATCAGCCTTTCCCTGCCCTGGGAGCTGAGCTGCTGGAAAAGGAGCTGGATCCGTTTTCCCTGGGGGGAGATCACCTGGGAATGATGTGGATGCTGCAGTGAGATCAGGCAGCCACAGCTTCTCTGGGCAGCCTGTGCCAGGAATTCCTTCCCAAAATCCCATCTAATCCTGCTACTCCAGGCTCTTGTCCTGAGTCCCTCTCATCTCAGACTGCCCCAATATCGATGGTCAAAGTCACGCCAGGTTCCCTGGGCTTCCAGAAACTTCCCCAGAGCTCTGTCCAAGGATGTCCCTGCTCCTTCCCTAACTCTTGGCTCGGTGTTGTAGGAGGAGGAGAATCTCCGTGCTCAGGTCAGGGACCTTGAGGAGAAGCTGGAGACACTCAAAATCAAGAGGAATGAGGACAAGGCGAAGCTCAAGGAGCTGGAGAAGTACAAGATCCAGCTGGAGCAGGTGCAGGAATGGAAGAGCAAAATGCAGGAGCAGCAGGCTGAGCTCCAGAAGCGCCTGAAGGAGGCCAAGAAGGTGAGTGAGTGTCCTGGGAATGGGGCAGAGCCTGGAGAGGTGACTGCAGGAGGAATTCCAGCCCTGACAAACCTTTCTGGGAGGAAATTTTCCCAGTATCCAGATAAACCTCCCCAGGTGCAGCTCAAGGTCTTTTCCTCTGTTGTGAATCGATGTTGGGTGTATTTGGGAATCAGGCTGAGCCAAGGTGGGATTTGAATTCCTTATTCCCTCTCTTTCCAGGTGCTTCCCTCTTCCTTCTCTCTCCAGATGTTTCCCCCTTCTCTCTCTCTCTCCAGGAGTTCCAGGAGTTTCCCTTTCCCCCTCAGCTGTGCCTGCAGCTCCCAGGATTCCATCCAAGGAGCGTTTCCTTCTCCCTGCCCTACTTTCCACAGTGGATTCCTGGTTTCTTTCCCCAGGGCTTTATCCGTCTGCTCCAGCATTCCCTGTCTCCTTACCTTTGTCCTCACCTGCTTCTCCTGCCTGGCTCTGGGTGTGGAGCAGGGCAGAGAGGAGTGGGACACGCTGGAGCACTGGGTTGTCCCCTCCCACCCCAGATAACCCGGTGTCCATTGGATCTGGGGGAGCCTTGAGGGACAATAATTTCCTGAGAGCTTTGTGGTGGGGTCTCTCCAGAGTTGTGGGGTCCCCTCAGCCGCCGTGCTTGCCCACAGGAAGCCAAGGATGCCCTGGAAGCCAAGGAAAGGTACATGGAGGAGATGGCAGACACAGCCGACGCCATCGAGATGGCCACGCTGGACAAGGAGATGGCCGAGGAGAGGGCAGAGTCCCTGCAGCAGGAGGTGGATTCCCTCAAGGAGAAGGTGGAATACCTCACCATGGACCTGGAGATCCTCAAGCACGAGATCGAGGAGAAAGGTGGGAAGGGAGAGGGACTTTGGGCTTGGAGAATGGGGAATGGGAGTGGGGTTAGGTGGGATGTTGGGAAGGAATTCTTCTCTGTGAGGGTCCCGAGGCTCTGGAATGAATTATTCCAGAGAAGCTCTGGCTGCTCCATCCCTGGAAGTGTCCAAAGCCAGGTTGGATGGGGCTTGGAGCACCCTGGATAGTGGGAGGTGTCCCTGCCCATGGCAGGAGGTGGGAATGAGTGGGATTTAAGATCCCTTCCCACCCAAACCAGTCTGGGATTCTGGGATTCCGATTGCTCCTTTCCTCCACAGGCTCTGATGGAGCAGCATCCAGCTACCAGGTGAAACAGCTGGAGGAGCAGAACGCCAGGCTCAAGGAGGCTCTCGTCAGGTGGGAGCTCACCCAAATTCCTTCCCAGACCTCTTGTGCTCTGAGAACACCAATCCCAATCCTTCTCTGGAGTGACTCATGTCATTCCTGTTTATATTTCTGGGATCTTTGCTGAGCTCTTAAAGCATCCACGGGGAAGGGAGAGTCCCTTGTCACAGGGGATTGGTGGGGATGGGGACAATGAGCCACTCCAGCCTCATTCCCTATGGAATGCCTCATTCCCTATGGATGGATGTGGTGCTTGGTATCCCTGTTCTCCAGACCCTGCCCAGCCCTGGGATCTCCCTCTCCCTGGATGATCCCACCTTCCAGGGCTTGGGTGCTCATGGGCTTTTTATTTGGGAATCCACAGCCAGAAAGTTCAGGTGGGACCCATCCCTTGGTGTGACTGAGCTGGATTTGGGGAGCATGGCTCATGTCCCCACCTGGGAGGGATGAGCTCTGTTATCCTGGCTGGGGCAGACTGGGGCTCTTGGGAGGGCCCTGACAGGAGCTGTGGCTGTCCCAGGATGAGGGACCTGTCGGCCTCGGAGAAGCAGGAGCACGTGAAGCTCCAGAAGCAGATGGAGAAGAAGAACACGGAGCTGGAGTCGCTGCGGCAGCAGCGGGAGAAGCTGCAGGAGGAGGTGAAGCAGGCGGAGAAAACGGTGGATGAGCTCAAGGAGCAGGTGAGGGACAGGTGGGATGGGATATTTGGGATGTTTGTGGACATTCAGCGCAGTTTGGGGACATTTGGGGACATTTGGGGCATTGAGACTCCTGGAGAGCCACATGCAGTGATCCCACTGCAGGAACCAGCACTCCTGGTCCCATATTCCCTAATTCCAAACCCTGTTCCAGCAGTGGGG